TGGGATGGGAATGGGATGGGATGGAATGGGGATGGGAATGGGATGGGATGGGGACAGGATGGGGACGGGATGGGGATGGGATGGGATGGAATGGGGATGGGGATGGGGGTGGGATGGGACAGGAATCCCCTCCCCAGTGAGGAAGGTCCAACCCCACCCCTGGTCCAGCTCATCCTTATCTCAGCTCCAGCAGCTCCATCCCCATCTTCCTTCCCCCCCCCCCCCCCCCCCCCCCCATCCCATCCCATCCACACCCAGACCCCCCCTTTGTGGAGCACCCCATGGACACCCCCCCCCCCATTCCCTCTCCCATAGGGACACCCCGACCATGGAGGCCACGTCCATGCTCAGCCCCTCACCGTGGCAGCGGCGCCGCGCCTGGGTCCGGCAGAGCCGGAGCTGGAGGAATTCGATGCTGGCGCTCGAGGACGCGGCCTCTGCCCCATGGGACAACTCCGACCCACAACCGCCCCACGGCCCCCTTGCAGGTCAATGGGGATGCCCCGGGGATGGGGGGCCCCGAGCCCTGCGCCCCATCGGTGCCTTCCCAAGGGCAGGAAGCGCAGACGGGAAGATCGAGCTGTGGCTGCGGGAGTGCGGGTGAGCGGCGGCGTTCCCGCTGGGAATGGTGCTGTGGGGAGAGGGAAAGGGCGGGGGGGATGCTCATGGGTCCTCATGGAAGGCCTGCACCCGAGCAGGCAGAGGGGTGCTGGTGGGAAGGAGGCCATGGGAGCAAGGAATGGGGTGGGATGGAAGGGAGCTGAAAGCACCATGGGCAGGGGGGGCTCCTGCAGCGAGCCCATTCCAGGGGCCCAGCACCCTCGCTGGGAAGAGATTCTGCCCAAGAGCTCATCCCAATCTCCCCCTGTCCTGTCCCTGCATCCCTTGGCCAAAGCCCCTTTTCCTATTGGATCCCCTTGTCCTGTCCCTGCATCCCTTGCCCCAAACCCCTTTTCCTATTGGATCCCCTTGTCCTGTTCCTGCATCCTTGGTGAAACCCCTTTTCCTATTGGATCCCCCTGTCCTGTCCCTGCATCCCTTGCCCCAAACCCCTTTTCCTATTGGATCCCCCTGTCCTGTTCCTGCATCCTTGGCCAAAGCCCCTTTTCCTATTGGATCCTCTTGTCCTGTCCCTGCATCCCTTGCCCCAAACCCCTTTTCCTGTTGGATCCCCTTGTCCTGTCCCTGCATCCTTGGCCAAAGCCCCTTTTCCTACTGGATCCCCTTGTCCTGTCCCTGCATCCCTTGCCCCAAACCCCTTTTCCTACTGGATCCCCTTGTCCTGTTCCTGCATCCTTGGTGAAACCCCTTTTCCTATTGGATCCCCCTGTCCTGTCCCTGCATCCCTTGCCCTAAACCCCTTTTCCTATTGGATCCCCCTGTCCTGTCCCTGCATCCCTTGTCCCAAACCCCTTTACCTACTGGATCCCCTTGTCCTGTTCCTGCACCCTTGGTGAAACCCCTTTTCCTATTGGATCCCCCTGTCCTGTCCCTCCATCCCTTGTCCCAAACCCCTTTTCCTGTTGGATCCCCTTGTCCTGTCCCTGCATCCCTTGCCCCAAACCCCTTTTCCTATTGGATCCCCCTGTCCTGTCCCTGCATCCCTTGCCCCATAGCCCCTTTTCCTATTAAATCCCCTCTGAGCATCCCACCAAGCCCAAACCCCATCTCCTTGCTCCCCATCCCCTGCATCCCATTCCCCCCTGCCCATCCTGCTGTTCCCAGCTCTCCCATCCCACCTCCATCCCCTCTGGACAGGGTGACGTGACCAAGGCTCTGCTCTGGTCCAGGTCATCCCTTGAGGTCCCATCAGAGGAGCCGGGCTTGCCGGGTCCCCAGGGTGCGTTGCCTTGGTCCCCATGGTTCTCCTGGGGTACCGCTGGTCCCTCTGTGTCCCTAAAGCCCTTGGGTGCAGGGGAATGGCCCTTGAGGACCACGGGACCCATCCCTGTGGCCCCACATCTCATCCAACACCATTGCAGGGTATGGAAGCACTGGGACCAGCTTCGAGGATGACCTGACCCTGGGAGCTGAAGGTACCAGCACCCCTAGGGTGTCGCTGCCCTCCCATTGCCACCAGCAGCAGCTTCTCCTGCAGGAGATGGGGCTGGGCTGCCCCCGAGCTCTGTGTCCATGGGGTGGGATGCGTGTGGCCCCACACATCCCCATCTCGCTCCTCTCTGCCCCCTTTTCCAGCTCTCCTGCTTCCAGGGAGCAGCAAGGCCATGAGCAGGTGAGGTTTGGGGTCCTAGGTCGAGGCTGGTGGGGATCTGGGGACCACTATCCCCATGCACCCATTGGCATCATGCCCATCTGCATCCCCATCCCTATCCCCATTCTCATCCCCTTCCCCACCCCATCCCCACCCCATCCCCATCCCCATCCCCTTCCCCATGCTCATCCCCATACCCATATTTGTCCCCATCCCCATCCCACCCCCATCCCCATCCCTACCACATCCCCATCCCCACCCCATCCCATACACATCCCACCTCGTCCCACCCCCATCCCACCCCTTCCCACCCCATCCCCATCCCCATCCCCACCCCATCCCATCCCATCCCATCCCATCCCATCCCATCCCCATCCCCATCCCCATCCCCACCCCACCCCATCCCCATCCCCATCCCCACCCCATCCCCACCCCATCCCCATCCCCATCCCCACCCCATCCCCACCCCATCCCTATCCCCACCCCATCCCCATCCCCATCCCCACCCCACCCCATCCCCATCCCCATCCCCACCCCATCCCCATCCCCACCCCATCCCCACCCCATCCCCATCCCCACCCCATCCCCACCCCATCCCCATCCCCTCCCCATCCCCATCCCACCCTATCCCATCCCACCCCCATCCCCATCCCCATCCCCATCCCCATCCCCATCCCCATCCCCATCCCCATCCCCACCCCACCCCATCCCACCCCATCCCCATCCCACCACAGGGCCAAACGCCTCAGCCTGGGCCACAGCGCGGCCTCCAGCCTCACCACCAAGACCAGCTCCAGGTAGAACCTAGGGAGGGGTGTGTGTGGGTGTGGGGGTGTCTTCGAGGGGTGCTTGGGCTCCCCCGTTGGCGATGCTCATCCCTATGGGGCTGCCCCACATCCCCGCAGCATCTCCGAGGTGCTGGAGCGCTGGGAGGCGGATGCTGAGGAGATCCTCTCCGAGCTGGGCTTCGTGCCGAGCGAGCCGGGTACCGCATCCCGGGTCCCCGTGCGGTTTCTTCACGGCTCCATCCCGCGCCAAGGGCATCGACTTCCAGCTCTTCCTCAAGGCCCAAGTGCGGCGCATGGAGATGGAGGATCCCTGCTTGACGCTGGCCAGTGAGCGGCGCCTGCCCCCCCCCCCCCCCCCGATCCCATGGGATTCACCCCATTGGGAATGAGGCTCCGGTTTCCCACCTCCCTTTGTCCTTCCCAGGTCGCTTCCAGCAGGTCCAGGCTCTGGCCACCACGGCCGATGCCTTCTTCTGCCTCTACTCCTACGTGTCCCGGAGCCCCGTGCGGCGCCTGTCCCCCTCCTGCTGCTCCAGGGCTCATCCCGACATTCCCAACATCCACATCCCAACATCCCAACCCGGAGCCCTCTCGCCCGTGCAGCGCTTGAAGAGAGCAGTGGCCACCATGTGCCTCTACGCACCCCCAAGGGATGAAGGCAACCCCCCGGGGCCCCCCATCCAGCCCGGTGCTATGGGGCCGGGGCTGGAGCCATCCCGGTGCGATGCAGGCGATGCCCTGGAAGGATGGAGAAGGGATGCGGATGGGGTCCATCCTGGTGCTGCATGGGGACACCCGGAGCTGCCCTGTCCCCATAGCGGGGGGTTATTGGGTACCCCGATGGTGGTGGTCCCCCCCCAGCAGCCATGGGACAAAGGGGACTCCGGCTTCGGCTCTGGCTCCTATGGGACCTGGCTGGGGTGGAAAGCGGGGTCCCATGGGTGCCACATGGGTGCTACCTTGCACCCGGACACACCAAGGGCTGGTGGCCACCGGGCTTGGAGCAGGGGCCAGCGATGGGGGGGGCAGAGGGACACGAGGATGCTCCCATCACCCCAAGGACCAACCAGGGACTCCTTTGAGGTGGAGGAGGTGAGGAGGGATACCAGGGTGATGGGGGGGTACGAGGGTGATGGGGAGGTATCAGGGTGATGGAGGGGTACCAGGGTGATGGGGAGGTGCCAGGGTGATGGGGAGGTATCAGGGTGATGGAGGGGTACCAGGGTGATGGGGAGGTGCCAGGGTGATGGGGGGGTACCAGGGTGATGGAGGGGTACCAGGGTGATGGGGGGGTACCAGGGTGATGGAGGGGTACCAAGGTGATGGGAGGGGTACCAGGGTGATGGGGGGTACCAGGGTGATGGAGGGGTACCAGGGTGATGGGGGGGTACCAGGGTGATGGAGGGGTACCAGGGTGATGGGAGGGGTACCAGGGTGATGGGGGGTACCAGGGTGATGGGAGGGTACCAGGGTGATGGGGGGTACCAGGGTGATGGGGGGGTGCCAGGGTGATGGGAGGGGTACCAGGGTGATGGGGGGGTATCAGGGTGATGAGGAGGTACCAGGGTGATGGGAGGGTACCAGGGTGATGGGGAGGTACGAGGGTGATGGGGAGGTACCAGGGTGATGGGAGGGTACCAGGGTGATGGGGGGGTACCAGGGTGATGGGGGGGGCCAGGGTGATGGAGGGTACCAGGGTGATGGGGAGGTACCAGGGTGATGGGGGGGTACCAGGGTGATGGGGAGGTGCCAGGGTGATGGGGAGGTATCAGGGTGATGGAGGGGTACCAGGGTGATGGGGGGATGCCTTACACACGCATGGAGAGGGATGCAGTGATTTACACACATGTGCCGCTCCTCACCCATCCTGCTGCAGGTGCTGAGTGTCAGTGAGGATGATGATGATGATGATGATGATGATGATGATGATGATACTGATGATGATGATACTGATGATGATGATGGTGGTAATGGTGATGCCCACAAGGAACCCATCCGGTCCCTCCATCCCTCCGCTGCCATCCGCAGAAGTAAGTTCTGGGGGTTTCCCATAATGGGAGGGCAGTGCGTGTCCCGTGGGTCCCCATACATGTCCCCATGTGTGTCCCACATGTCCCATATGTGCCCCACGTGTCCCCATACGTGTCCCCATACATGTCCCCATACCTGTCCTATGTATCCCCCATGCGTGTCCCACATGTCCCATGTGTCCCCATACATGTCCCCACGTGGCCCCATGTGTCGCACGTGTCTCCATACATGTCCCACGTGCCCTCATACGTGTCCCATGTGTCCCCATACGTGTCCCACATGTCCCCATACCTGTCCCCATCCATGTTCCCATACCTGCCCCATACATGTCCCCATACATATCCCCATACATATCCCCATACATATCCCCATACATATCCCCATACCTGTCCCCATACCTGCCCCATCCATGTCCCCATCCATGTCCCCACACCTGTCCCCATCCATGTCCCCATCCATGTCCCCATACCTGCCCCATACCTGCCTCATCCATGTCCCCATCCATGTCCCCATCCCTGCCCCATACCTGCCTCATCCATGTCCCCATCCATGTCCCCACCCATGTCCCCATCCATGTCCCCATCCCTGCCCCATACCCGCCCCACACCTGTCCCCACCTGTCCCCGTGCCCCCCGCCTGTCCCCACGTGTGTCCCGTGCCCCACACCCAGGTTTCCTGCTCCCCGCCAGCAGCGGGCCCTCGGACAGCAGCGGCTTCGGGGAGGAGGCGGTGCCGGGGCTCAGCTCCCAGCCCAGGGCCTGAGGCCACCGCAGAGGGACCCAGGGGGGGCCCGGGGGCACCGCTGGGTGCTGGGAGCCACAGGGACCCTGGCACTGCCGCCACGCGTGCACTGGGTGTACACGTGTGTGTGTGTGTGCACGTGTGTGTGTGTGTGCACGTGTGTGTGTGTGTGCACGTGTGTGTGTGTGCACGTGTGTGTGTGTGTGCACGTGTGTGTGTGTGTGCACGTGTGTGTGTGTGCACGTGTGTGTGTGTGCGTGTGTACACGTGTGTGTGTGTGTGCACGTGTGTGTGTGTGTGCACGTGTGTGTGTGTGTACACGTGTGTGTGTGTGCACGTGTGTGTGTGTGTGTGTACACGTGTGTGTGTGTGTGTGCACGTGTGTGTGTGTGTACACGTGTGTGTGTGTGCACGTGTGTGTGTGTGTGTGCACGTGTGTGTGTGTGCACGTGTGTGTGTGTGTGTGCACGTGTGTGTGTGTGTACACGTGTGTGTGTGTGCACGTGTGTGTGTGTGTGTGCACGTGTGTGTGTGTGTACACGTGTGTGTGTGTGCACGTGTGTGTGTGTGTGTGCACGTGTGTGTGTGTGTACACGTGTGTGTGTGTGCACGTGTGTGTGTGTGCACGTGTGTGTGTGTGTGTATGTACATGTGTACACGTGTGTGTATGTACATGTGTACACGTGTGTGTGTGCACGTGTGTGTATATATACATGTGTACACGTGTGTGTATGTACATGTGTACACGTGTGTGTGTATGTACATGTGTACACGTGTGTGTGTTTGGCACCGAATTCCTTTTGACTCAGGACTTTTGCCAGGGCTGGGTCAGGGCCAGGGGATGTCCCCATCCCCATAGACGTGTCTCCATCCCCATAGACGTGTCTCCATCCCCATAGACGTGTCTCCATCCCCATAGACGTGTCTCCATCCCCATAGACGTGTCTCCATCCCCATCCCCATAGACGTGTCTCCATCCCCATAGACATGTCTCCATCCCCATCCCCATAGACGTGTCTCCATCCCCATAGACGTGTCTCCATCCCCATAGACGTGTCTCCATCCCCATCCCCATAGACGTGTCTCCATCCCCATAGACGTGTCTCCATCCCCATAGACGTGTCTCCATCCCCATCCCCATGGACATGTCCCCATTACCATAGACATGTAACCATCTCCATCCCCATAGATGTGTCTCCATCCCCAACCTCATGGACGTGTCCCCATCCCCATGGACATATTCCCATCCCCAACCCCATGGACGTGTCCCACCCCCATAGACGTGTCTCCATCCCCATCCCCATGGACATGTCCCCATTACCATAGACATGTAACCATCTCCATCCCCATAGACGTGTCCCCATTCCCATTGGCGTGTCCCCATCCCCACCCCCATGGACATGTATCCATCACCATGGATGTGTCCCCATCCCCATCCCCATGGACATGTATCCATGACCATGGACATATCCCCATCCCCATGGACGTGTCCCCATCCCCATGGACATGTCCCCATCCCCATGGATGTTCTCCCATCCCCATGGACGTGTCCCCATCCCCATGGACGTGTCTCCTTCCCTATCCCCATGGACATGTCCCCATCCCCATGGACATGTCCCCATCCCCATGGACGTTCTCCCATCCCCATGGACATGTCCCCATCCCCATGGACGTGTCCCCATTCCCATTGATGTATCCCCATCCTGATCCCCATGGATATGCCCCATCCCCATGGACGTGCCCTCATCCCCATGGACGTGCCCCCATCCCCATGGACATGCCCTCATCCCCATGGATGTGCCCCCATCCTCCTGGACGTGCCCCCATCCCCATGGACATGTATCCATCACCATGGACATATCCCCATCCCCAACCCCATGGACGTGTCCCCATTCCCATTGATGTATCCCCATCCTGATCCCCATGGACGTGCCCCCATCCCCATGGACGTGCCCCCATCCCCATGGACATGTCCCCAAACCCAGCCCTGGCTCTTGGGACACCACTTGCACTTTGGTCACCCGTGTGACACTAGGAATGGGATCTGTTGGGTGAAATAAAGCTCCCAAAGGACTGTGGCTGCCTCCATCCCTGGATGGGGGGATCCAGCCCTATGGACCCCACGGCCCATCCCAGCTCAAGGGCTCATGGATTCGTGTTTGGCTTCTCCATCTTCAGGCCTCTCCTACGCCTCCCTCTTGTTTCCTTATGGGGCATCTCGTGACTTCCTGGTTCTTCCCCTTCCTGTCCCGTATCTCATGGGCTCCACGCTCCTCATCTGCCCCATGGGATGTGGGCACCAGAAGGAAACCACACGGAGGTGATGCTGGCTCCATTCCTTAACCCCTCCCGTGCTGCTGCTGCCGCCATCGGTGCCTTTTGTCCCCAATGACGTGGGCCCCATCCCCATGGACATCAGCCCCCTTTGGACCACATCAAGGTCCAGATCCGTTCCTGGCCCCCTAAACCCATGCAGGGATGGGGAGAAGCGCCCCATAACCTCAGCAAGGAGCCAGCACCACTGTGGTCCCTCATCCTCTCCTGGTCCCCTGGTCCAGGAGCCTCCGCTCTGATGGCCCCAGGGCAGGGGACAGGATGGACCAACAAACCCCAGCACTTCCCTATGGAGAGCAGCCAAAGATGGGATTATCCTGGCTTAGCCCCACAGCCCCTCGGGCTCCCAGAGCCCAACCCCATGGTGGGGTCCTGAACAGGGGGGGATATTCCCAACGTGCCAGGGATGCTCCGTGCTGGCTCCTGCTGCCCACGGATGAGCTTCATCCACATCCCTGCTGCTCTAGAGGGGACCCGCAAGCCGGGATGCTCCTGCTCCTATGGAGCCCTCCTGGGCCTTCATCCCAGAAACAGAGCCTGGGCATTGGGTGCAGCCCGATGGGGATTCCAGAAGCCTTCGGCTCCATCCTCGGAGCACGCCTGGAGCTCAGGGTGCCCCATCCCCGGGGACACTTGAGACCATCCCCATCCCAGTGGGGAAGAGACCGGGACGAGGCTCCAAACCTTGGTCGATGGGGACCAAAGCGCTGGCGGCACCGGGCTGCATGGGGCCACCTTCATCCAGCTTCACCGCTGAGCCCAAAGAGCAAGGGTTTCATCCCAACGCAGGGAAAGCGAAGCCCCCGGTGCTCCCGAGCCCGGTTTGAACGCGGCGATGGCCGAATGCGATGGGATGGAGCAAACCCCAGCGGCGCAGCGCCAGGAGGAGGTGTTCCCACACTGGGGCTTGGCTGCTCTCTCCCCAGAGCGCTTGGAGCACCCCACAGCCCGCATCCGGGTGCTGCAATCCTGCCCCGGGAGCTTCCCCTCACCCCCTTTCCCCCCTCCCCTCCCCGCAATGAATGGGATGCTCTGAGGACCAGGATCCAAGCAGGATACGAGGCACAAATCCTCCCTCGGGCACCGGGCACGGGAACCCCATGGAGCCGTTCCCTGACCTCCAGCCAAGAGGCGCCCAAGGGACCGGGTGGTGATTTAGGGGCGCAGCGCTCAATGGGGAGCTCCGGGCTCTTGCTGGGATGCTCCCGACCCCCCGTCCTGCGGGATTCCCATTGGAATCAAGGGCTCAGGCCCCTGCGGAGCGCGGGACTTGCGGGATGAGCAGCGCGGAGCCGGTGCCAGCGGAGCCGGCTTGGATGCAGCCCTCGGCAGGGATGAGGTGGCTGAGGTGTGGGAGCAGCTTCCCACGGGAGGCAGGAGCTGCCTGGGAGGCTGGGAATGGGCCAGGAGCTGCAGACGTGGTTCTGCAGCTGGGAACGGGCTTGGTGGGGGCTCCTGGCCACTGCCGGCAGCGCCCATCCACAGCCAGCAGAGCCCCATCCACTCCTAACAGTGCCCCATCCACAGCCAGCAGAGCCCCATCCACTCCTAACAGCGCCCCATCCACTCCTAACAGCGCCCATCCACAGACAGCAGAGCCCCATTCACTGCTAACAGCGCCCCATTCGCTCCTAACAGTGCCCCATTCACTCCTAACAGCGCCCCATTCGCTCCTAACAGCACCCCATCCACTCCTAACAGCACCCCATCCACTCCTAATAGCGCCCCATTCACTCCTAACAGCACCCCATCCACTCCTAACAGCACCCCATCCACTCCTAACAGCGCCCCATTCACTCCTAACAGCACCCCATCCACTCCTAATAGCGCCCCATTCACTCCTAACAGCACCCCATCCACTGCTAACAGCACCCTATTCACTCCTAATCGCACCCCATGCACTCCTGATAGCACCTTATCAACCCTAACATTACCCCATCCATATCCAGTATCACCCTGTTCACTCCTGATAGCACCCCATCGACCCCAGCATCACCCCATTCACCCCAGCATCACTCCATCCACATCCAGCATCACCCCATCCACATCCAGCATTGGGGCTGGTTTGGGTGCACTGGGGTTGGTTTGGGTGCATTGGGCTGGTTTGGGTGCTCTGGGGCTGGTTTGGGTGCATTGGGGTTGGTTTGGGTGCTCTGGGGCTGGTTTGGGTGCATTGGGGTTGGTTTGGGTGCTCTGGGGCTGGTTTGGGTGCATTTGGGCTGGTTTGGGTGCTCTGGGGCTGGTTTGGGTGCATTGGGGTTGGTTTGGGTGCTCTGGGGCTGGTTTGGGTGCTGAGGCACTGGAATGGGTTGCCCAGGGAGGTTGGGAATGCTCCATCCCTGGCAGTGTTCAAGACCAGGTTGGACGAGGCCTTGGGTGACCTGGTTTAGGGTGAGGTGTCCCTGCCCTTGGCAGGGGGTGGAACTGGGTGAGCTTCAGGTCCTTTCCAACCCAAACCATTCCACTAAAGGAGGTTTGGTGGGATGGAGGGTGGTTTGGTGGGATATAAAGGGTGTTTGTTGGGATGTAAAGTGGTTTGGTGGGATGGTCATGCTTCCAGGCAAACAACAGGCAGGACTGGATGGGATGAATGGGATGGATTGGATGGGATGGATGGGATGGGATGGGATGGGATGGGATGCATGGGATTGGATGGGATGGATGGGATGGGATGGGATGAATGGGATGGGGCGGATTAGAT